CTCTCTCTCTCTCTCTCTCTCTCTCTCTCTCTCTCTCTCTCTCTCTCTCTCTCTCTCTCTCTCTCTCTCTCTCTCTCTCTCTCAATGTTAACCATGAAAAAACCGCTGCATGTGTGTGAATTTGCAGTTTTTTCTATAGAGAAAGAAAAAAAAAACCTCATTTGTGATAAGAAATAGCTCTTTTTCTTGTGGAGTAGGCAACATATGATGCTGGATATAAGCTAACCTAAGGTATGAAACTGCACATCATATAACAAGTAGCACAAGCAGTATTATCAAGTTCAACCAATTATCCTCAGTTTTCTTGTTCCTTCCATGACAAGATTGGAATTCAAGATTTGGACGATCCTAAACTTAAAATGTAAGATTTGGGATTGTGTTTAATTGACTAAGGTTTTGATTACTGCAATACTACATCACAAGTTCAAATCCTTAACAAATAGATTTAAAATGTAGCACATACGTCAGGAGGGCCAAATAAAGGTACTGCTTCAACTTTAAGGCCAGGGACGAAGCCAATGGTTATCAGTACCCCACGATCAGTAAGCAGATCATTGTATGGATTCCAAAGAATCCAAAGAAAAAATCAGAAGGATCAATTTATGAAATTCTCAATTGAAAGAAACGCCATAAGTCCATAACAGTACAAACAATTTTGTCAGAAATAGCACCTTTTGTATAACAATAGCAGAAAACAGAAAGACATAGAGACAGCAAGAGAGTACCTCCTCAACTTCATCACTGACAGTATCCCTTACCAATTAGACCCTGAGAAAATATGTGACAAGAGGAACTGTTCCACCAAACTCAGAACTTAGCAGCAAAATGTGCTCTAATGAGAAAATGTTTTCCTTTGATCGATAAGAAAGAAAGATGGTTATTCATTTTGCAATTGTAAACCAGAGCCACTGTAGGTATGTGAAGTATGTATCATAATGGAAGATAATTGAACGTACAAGAACATGGGCCTTCTCTAAAGAAGACATGAAGCCCGTGAAAGCCATCACAAAGTGTGGCCAGATTGGTTCAGAGAGAACCTTGGCCAAAGCCTCATCCATGCACTCCTAAAATGAGAAGAAAGAATTAATAAATGGTTCATGTCCCCTCTAAACAAGAAAAACCCTATTTCTGCAGAATCAAACCAGAATAATATAGAAACAAAGCAAAGAGTGACAAAGCCAATAATTTAAACTAGAAATGTAAGTACAATGGAAGATCAAACTACACAAACTAACTAACCAGTGTGAGGTTACAGGAGAATAACTGTGGACTCCCTTCTTTATGCAAAATCAAATCCCAATTGCCAAATTCAAACTATATATCCGATGAACCAGTCATCAATCGGCGAGAAATAAACATATGTGTCCATTTGGAGATACTTAAGGGATGAAATCACAAAATTTAACAAACCATTAATAAATTACATGCAATAACAAAACAAATCCGCAATAGAATTCACAAAAACAGAAAAAGTTAGAAAAAGTTAACAATACAGTTAACAATACTAGATAATTAGGATAAATCAAGGCCAAATATCATGGACTGCAAGGAAAGAAAAGTAGGGAGTATGATATATACCTCTAAAGTGTGGTGCACAGAGAGAGCACAGAGAAGCTTAGGGCGTGAAAGTATCCGATTGCAGATGCGGTTCCATGAATGGCAGGTAACGCAGGCCTTTGCAAATGCCTTGGCAGGAAGCCTCCCCAAAATGTTCTCCCACAACTCTTCTGGGAGGGACGCCACCCTTTCTCTCTCTAACTCTCCAGCCATCGTCTCTCTCTCTCTCTCTTGTTAGTAACTCCACAATCTGTCTCTCTGAGTAACCACAGAGAGCCTCTCTATCTCTCTATATACTCTCTTTAAATGTGCACTGTCTCTCTCCTCTTGGTTCATGTCAGTCTCTCTTTCTATGGACTCTGAGTAACTACACTCTCTCGCTTTCTTATTCTGAGTGAGTATTCTCTCTCTTGAATGATAGCTCTGGAATTACAGAAATGAGTTCTTTTCCCATTCAAGTCTTTGATAAGTATAGAGAAAACCAAGGATCCTTCTCATCTTTCTTTGAAGTTTGAACATTGAACCTTCTCTCTCTCTCTGGAAAATTTTGGAGGGAAACAGAACCATCTCTCTCTCCTTGGAAATTGATTTCAATGAGTCATAAAAGTTTTCTATCAGTGCTTCAGCTGTCACACACTCTTTCTTATTCTTAGTGAGTGTTCTCTATCTTGGTTGATAGCTCTGGTATTACACAAATGGGATCTTCTCCCATTCAAGAGTATAATAAGTTCAGAGAAAATCAAGGAACCTTCTGATCTTTCTTTGAAATTTGAACATTGGACCATGTCTCTCTCTCTTTCTCTGTGTGTGGAAAATTTTGGAGGATAACAAAACCATCCCCCTCTCTCCTTGGAAATTGATTTCAATGAGTCAATGAAGTTTTCTAACAGTACTTCAACTGACACACTCTCTTTCTTTTTCTGATTGAGTTATTCTCTCTCTTGAATGATAACTCTGGTATTACAGAAATGGGCTCTTCTCCCATTCAAGACTATGATAAGCTTAGAGAAATCAAGTAACCTTCTCATCTTTCTTTGAAGTTTGAACATTGAACCATCTCCCTCTCTTCTGCTGGAAAAATTTTGTTGGAAAACAGAACTCTCTCTCTCTCCTTGGTAATTGATTTCAATGAGTCATGATGAAGTTTTCTAACAGTACTTCCAACTGACACACTCTCTTTTTCTTATTCTGAGTGAGTATTCTCTCTCTTGGTCGATAGCTCTGGTGTTACAGAAATGGGCTCTTCTCCCATTCACGACTATGATAAGCTTAGAGAAAATCAAGGAACCTTTCTTTGAAATTTGAACAGAACCATCTTTCTCTCTCTGAAAATTTTTGGAGGAAAACAGATCCGTATCTCTCTTCTTGCAAATTGATTTCAATGAGTCAATGAAGTTTTCTACAAATGTCTTCTTGCAAATCGATTTCAACGAGTCATTGAAGTTTTCTACAAAACTTCAACTGCGGCAAGTCAACCGTCGAATCCGGACCAAGGGGGGTGCTGTTCCATGCTTAAAAGTCCACTTAATAAAACCGCTAAAAGTCCCAATGTTGGAATTGGGCTGATGTGAAAACCACTATAGGAAACTTCCGTGTTCATGTTTTCAATTTCTTACTTGGGGCTGATCGGTCATCCTAATGAATGGTACGTATTGGTCCAATTGAACCTGGCCTCATCTAAGTACCAAAAATTAATTTTATTTTTATTTTTACTTTTAATTTAAAAATATATTTATTTTAAATTTGAGTCTTAACTATTTTTTTATAAGAAGAATTAATTAAAAATAATAAAAAGTTTATTGAATAAAAAAATATTGACCAAAACATATTTAAGAATATTTTGGTCATTTTTATTTAAAACGTTCTAACTAATTTTTATTCTATTTACAAAAGTGAATTTATATCCCAAGTTTTAGATACATAAAATATTCAAATAAAAAATTTTAAAAATAAAATACGAAAATTAAATTTTGCCATCAAATATGGCTTCCAACCATGTCAACGGTATACTTTTCCAAAATTGAGTGTCCCAAAATTGGGTAAGTCTGAATAAAATAATTTTAGATCCTCGTAAAATTGGATCACCTACCCAACGATCTCGTGTTAAACCAGGCAATTTGGCTTCCATCCAGCGTTTATTTGAAACAATGGTCATCATAAACATAAAATTTAATAAATTCAAAACAAGGAGATTTCTCCTCTCAATTGAGGCAGCTGTCCTTGGTGCAAAAAATGTACGCGATATTGAGGCATGCCCAATTTCATTAGCCGGATTGGAATCATTCTTTGTGTAAAAGTTAGCATAACATTGCATTGAGTGCTATTGTAAAAAATGCATTTACCATGAGTCTAGTATGCCGTCGCATGAATCTTTTTGATGAATGGATTGATAGCTGCCTCTCTCATAATTATCTTAATGGCTTGTTTAATATGTGCTGAAAAGTAAATTTGTGATTACAAAGGCAAAGTTTTGCACTTTCCTGCTTATGAAGAACCAACAGATCCAATCAAATGTGGATTTATGATGGAGAAGCAGATGATGCTCTCAAACGGTGGCCTCAATTTATAGTCATTAAACTTGAATATATAACCATTTGACGAGTTATATGCTCTGTATACCATCAACAAAGGAGGAAAAATGCCCAAGAATGAGGTCTATGGTTTAGAAGTTGTAGTGTATGACATAACAAGATAGACAGTGCTAAAGAAATTCAAACAAGACCCACTCAAGTTCAGTTCCCTTTTCTCCATCTCTCCTAGAGCTGGAGGTCCAATCTCACCTCCACAGAAAGCTCCTGCTAATGGAACACTAGGAAAATTATCAGAAAATGCAGAGCTATCAACATTTTTCTTGCTGAAAAATGTAGCATCACGGCCTGTGCAAGAAAAGATAAGCCCTCCAAATACATGCATCTGCGTGCCATCTGATGAACTTTTTGAGCAATTTTGTACCTCAGTTTGCTTCAAAACCTTAAGTTGCTCATAAACAGCATCACGTGATGCCAATGCGGTCTCTCTATCAGACACATAAAAGCTAAAGGGATCTCCAGTTCTAAACCCCTAACCTTCAACGTAAAGGTACTCTTCATCCAAGCTGTGTGAAAAGAAAAAAAAGAAAGGAAACTATCATGTCAAGCTCCACACTTTTCAGTTTGAATGAAATAAGAGCCAATTCTCAATCAACCAAACCTCTTTTAGCCAAGTTAACCAACTCAATTTTCAATGCACCAAATCTACTACTACTGATATGAATGCTAAGGTGCAACTCTATCTCATTTTGTTCAATTTTCATGCAACTCTAGATAATGTTTAATTAGAGAAACATCATTGTGGCCATCAAACGTGACCAGAACATTGAAAGAACAGAATGGATCAGTAAGAACAAATGAAGGTGATGATCCATCAACATAAAAAAGACAACAGAAGGTAAAGTCTTAGACTCACTTATGAAATCCATGAAATGCGAACAAGGAAATAGGTTTTCCAAATTGTCTTTTCCCTGCTGCAATGGAGCGCTTCCTTTTCTTTAAAACTCCGACATAAACATCCCCGTAAATTTCATTTCCAACCTGCCATAGCATTTTAGCAATGAAGAAAGTGAATTACAAGATGCAAATGCAAAACCTACAAATTCAGAAATTCACAATATGAAATAAATTAGGTTACGGGTTATGTGAGTTTTTAACAAAATAGAACTACTAGCATGCACACAAGAAAAATATATCGATCACATGTCAAATTACTAATGTGCAAAACAGACTTATTTAAAGGTAAAAACAGAAGGCTTGTATGCAAATCCAAAAGCAACTTTACACATTACCATTAATATGTTTTTGTATAAAACAAAGGATAACCAGAATAAAGATCCAACTAGTGGTGATGGCTTTTATGCATGTGCTCAGGAAACCTAGTATTATGTATCAAACAAAGATTTGGGATCTCACTATAAATTTTGTAAGTGGTTCCATAAAATTTTCCAACGCTTAATAAAGAAAAAAAGAAAATACACATCATTAGTGTCCACATTCACAAAGTTTTAATTTCAAAAAAAAAAGAAAGAAAAGCAAATACACATCAAAGGTAAGGGGTACTTAAAGAGGTGGAGGAACGTAAAAGGATTTATTCACACAACTCCCCATGAAGGAAATTCAAAAACTGGGTAAGGCGCACAGGATAAGATCAAACGAGAGTAAGAAGCATTTATTCACACAACTCCCCTCAAAGGAAATTCAAAAAATGGGTAAGGGCACACAGAACAAGATGAAAAGAAAGCCAAAGTGCAGCGACACATCACTCAAATAAATATACACGATACTTTTCAAACACATCATCTTTGGGATAACCTCACTTATGCCATACATGTTTTCTTAAAGTCAAAATTGTCACCTTATTTTGACATATTACAAAATAGCTACCCAAATATGATGATTGTCTCATTTATGCAACGTTTTTAAAACTTCTACATTTCTTCCAAAAATACCCCAGAAAATAGTTGGTTAATTTTTTAACTTAATATTTGCCATGTATCCATCTTTCCATCAGGCTACCCTCATGTGCTGGCACAAATCTTAGCTCTAGGGCTAATAGGTCCAGCCCGGATAGCTGACTCTTCTTCTTCTTCTTCTTCATAATGATGGTCTATTCACAATTCTAACAACAAAAAGGAAACACTATATCTTATTTTCTAGCCTGCAGAATATATTGCTCTCAACGGATTATTGATTTGGGGTCTTGTGAAGCTGAAAGCAGATCAGTCAATACAATGCCTGAAATTACACTCGTAGCGGTGAAGAGTTGATGCTTCTTGTTAAAATGGGAGGAGCAGCTTGACTGTGGAATGATACAATGAGAAAAAAAAAAGAAGAAGTCAAGAAGTTAAGTTTAATAAAAATCTTTTTTTTTTTTGACAAAAGTTCCAGATCATTACTTTCCTCATTAATTCTAAGCATGTGCAGTTTCATCACCCATCTGTTTTTCATGGGCTGCAAATCTCATGGGTACAGTTTGGGAGGTCCAAAACTAAGGTGCAATTGAAAGTGTGACACTTCCATTGAATAGCAAATATAAATTCAAAGTTTTAAAACTTTCCCTAGTAAAACTCCCCTGATAATCGTGTACATGATATTCCTCAAATCTGCAAAACTGTTTTTCTTCTCGTTCTTCAGCTTCTTGGTCCTCTGCTCTCAGTTCAAGGAGATCCCTGCTCACTCAAGACAAATGCCTGAAGAAGACTCTGTGCTGCATTTGTTTGCTCAGGTGTTCCAGAAATTATGACCAGTCTCCTTGGCCCCATGTCTGGGTTCTGTGATGGTAATATTAGCACCTGAAATGTGACGTATTTTTTTCAGGCATTCTCCATTCTCTCCATAAATTGTGGGAACAACAGCTCGAGGAACAACAAATTCTACAGTTGTGCTAGTGATAATCGCTAATTGACTTCCAAAGCCATCTAGTCTCCGTTGAGTAAACCCCCTATCATAATCAGGTAGGCGAGTCTCAAGCCCACTGCCACTCCCACTCCCACTCCCACCAATACCCTGATGTGCCCATGGTGCTGGAGGTGGCATTCTTTCAGAATTGTGAGAGAATCCTGGCTTCTGAATTCCACGTGGAAACCCAGGAAGATCCATGTTGGGAGGAAGATCAAACTTGTGGATTGAAGGACCCATATGGGAATACATCCCAGGAGGTGAAGGAGGTCTCCTTCCCATATATGGAGGTACTGGAGGAGGTACTTGTTCTATGAAAGCAGGATGATGTGGATGGTTGATAATCGATTGGAATTGGTCGTGGAAAAGATGTTGGCGCAATCTGGATGTGATCTGTAATAGAGCTTCTTGAACAGCCTCAAATTCTTCAGTTACCTGAACGACTTCTTCATTATCCGAAGCACATTTTGGGATCTGGTCCTTAGCCAATATATGAATGGGTGCCCTAGATGACTTGCGCAGTTCTGCTATTATGGCACCACCCTTCCCAAGCAAGTAACCTATCTCATTGGAATGTACCAGAACCTTACAGACCAAGCTTTTATCTTTACTGTCAGGTGCTGCTTTAAAAATCCTGCTCTGCACACAAAGAACAGCAGCCTGTGCAGCAGAAATTCTATCGTCTGGATGTGTTGGTGCTGAAATGACTATTACACGATCCTCCAAGTCAGGTACAGTGTCAAGAATTTTGATCTCAGCCTGAGTCTCATTTTGGAGTGCTCTAATTATGGAACCCCCTTTTCCTATCACACCTCCAGCCTTCTCATTCATGCATAACAATTTAAATGTGAGTATTTCAGGGGTTTCATTCTACTGGAGTTAAAACCATCATGAAATTTAGGGATTGGTGAAGGAGCACCTGATAGATAGCCACCGTCATCCCCGCGCACAGGGGGGTATGGACCCCCTTGACCAGAGATATGATAGTTTGGGGGAGGCAAGATATCTGAGTGAGAATTTGAACCTATTTTTAAGGGTATGTTTGGAAGACTGGTAGAAGTTTTTTAAAAAGGATAATGAGAGAATCAATATATTTGGGTGGCACTTTTGCAATACATCTATATGGGGTAACAATTCTGACAATAAGAAAAACAAGGGTGGCATAAATTACATATTCCCTTATTTAGTAACAAACCCGAGAAAATCATGAAATAAATCACATACTCATCTATATATAAAAAAGATATTGGGGTCCCTTCATCAACGTAACTAAACAAAGTGTAGAATCCAAAGCAATGAAAACTTGCATTCATAGTGCCCCATCCCTTTGTCTACGTGAACATGGTGGGCCCAGGCGAGGCAAAATCCTACCACTTGGGGAGTCGATACACTCATAACCATGTCATAAACACCAAGGCAGCACAGACAACCATATGCCAACTCTCATAGCCGTAAAGGAAGAGGTCAGAAGGATGGTCAACCAGTTGTCTGCATTATATTTTATCTTTCAGTTATGACATTTGTGTAATATTGTGTAACATAAGGGTAACACTTAATAAATATGTTTTTTTATGGTATTTGTGTGATAGTGTAAATATGTTTTTAGGTGTTGAGTGTAAAAGGATGAAATTGGAGAAAAAACCCTAAATTCAGGTTGTCTTTCACTCTCCCTCCTGTCCTCTTATTCACCATTCACAAAATTTCTTTCTTCTCTCATTTCTCACATGGTATCACTGCCAAATTGGAGATTGATCAAGGTTGTTCCGGACAAGAGGTATAATCTATTTGTGGACTTATTTTCTTCTTCCCTTGAGTTAACATTTGTTATGCAAATTTATTGTCACTCTCTAAGTCCTATTTGCCGCCATTTCCCTTTTTTCTCATTCTCTTAGAAATTGATTTAAAATAAAAAAGTTCTCAAATAAAAACCTATCTTCATCACCCTTTTCTTCTAGAAAATTCAAAGCCAAAATCTCTCTCTCAATCTCAAGAAACTTCCCCAAATACTGATTACTCCTCTCCCTAAACCCTAATACCACTTCCTTTGACATTGTATTAGATATGTGAAGAGTAAAACGGAAAAGAACTTCATTTCCCTTTTACTTTTTTCTAAATCTCTTCTCATCTCTAATACAATGTTGTCTTCCTCGCATCAACTTACTTCATTAAATGCACAGTGAATGTCTCACCAAGGTTAAGAACATTTGTGATGAGCTCACGGATGAGATAAAGCCATGTACTTGTTGAGGGTCTAGGGGAAGAATATGATACATTTGTTTCATCTGTCATGACAAAGCCGCATACCCCTTCGTTTTATGAGCTTAAACATCTTTAAAAGGAAAAGAAACAAGAAATAAGAATGTGATGCTGAAATACTCAACGTATCCTCTCCCAATACAAGTTAATTTTGTAGACGTGGAAGGGGCAAAAGAAATCATGGAATAGATAAATTTTCGAGGCCATGAATGCTCTTGAGAGCAGCCGTATTGAGATTTTCAAAGGCAAAAAACAGACAAATGTCGTCATATGTCAGTTATATGGGAAAAGAAATCACATTGTAGCACAATTCTAACATCGTTTAAACTCGCAGTTTGCACCATAAAGCATATAGCAGCTGCTTCCCCGTCTCACTGTCATAAATGTAGGAGCACCGCCATTTGACTTGGGTTTTCCAAATTCAACATGGATGGACACTGGATCTGCAAACTACGTTATGTTGGAAGCAAGTAAATTTTCTTCATTGATTCCATAGTTTGGAGAGGAAAAGTGATGGGTACTGAACACCGCATCACCTATATAGGGATGGCAAATGTGTCTTTCCCATCTAGTTCTCTCTCTTCCAAACAAAGTCCTTTAACCACAAAACAAAAGAAGTCGAATTTCCATTTCCCAACTTGACGGCAATTTCAATTGCCCATATTGCGCTCCTAAAGGATCTCTGCATGAAGAAACTCTTGCCGAGGGACAAGAAGGGGGAACCTTTACTTTATCTCGAGTCCACGCCAAGGTCATTGTCTAGCATTCCTGCTCCATTCAATCCTGTTGTCGATTTCATCATCGTCATCATTATCGTCATCAAAGCCTTCTCCCAACTAATTGGGGTCGGCTACATGAATCCTGGTCCATCACTTTGATCTATTAAGGGTCATACCCTCAGTGAGGCCACAAGTCCCATATCTTTTCTCACTACTTCCAATCATATCCTCTTGGGCTTACCCCTTGTTCTTTTTTAGCCTTCCACTTGAACTAACTCACACCTCCTAACATATAATGTACTAGGTCTGCGCAGCACATGGCCAGCCTACCTAAGTCTACTTTCTCTCATCTTATTGTCTATTGGTGCCACTTGTAAATACTACCGGATGTATTCATTCTGAGCTTTATCTCATCTTGTCTTGCCACTCATCCATGTCAACATCCTCATCTCAACTAAACTCATTTTATGAGTATGTTGTTTCTTGAACGCCAAACATTCCGTCTTATAAAGCAAAACTGGTCTCACAATCGTCTTATAAAACTTGCCCTTCAACTTCATTGGTATACGACGATCACATAAAACTCCTGTCGCACATCTCCACTTCGCCCACCCAGCTCTAATCCTACGTGCGACATCTTCCTCAATCTCTCCATCTTCCTGGATTATTGACCTAAGATATCGAAAGTGTGCCTTTTTGGTATTTCTTGGCTATCAATCTTAACTACTTCCTCATCTCTACTACTATTATTACTAAACTTCCATTCCATATACTCTATCTTAAGTCCGGCCAATTTTCAAACCTTTAGATTCTAGAGCATCCCTTCAAAGTTTTAAAATTTGTGTTGATGCCATTTCGCTTCTCATCAATCAAAACTATGTCGTCCACGAATAACATGCACCATGATACCTCATCTTGTAAGTGTCTAGTTAAGTCGTCTATAACTAAGATAAAGAGGAATGGGCTCAATGCTGACTCTTGATGTAGACCTATTGTAACTGAAAACTCACTCGTCTCTCCACTAATTGTTCGTACACTAGTTAGCGCTCTCTCGTACATATCTCTCACCAAGTTGATGTAGTGACTGGAAACTCCTTACTTTTTCAATACCCACCAAATCAAATCTCAAGGTACTCTATCATAAGTTTCCTCTAGATCAATAAAGGTCATGTGGATGTCTTTTTGCTCCACCCTAAACTTCTCAATCAGTTGCCTAAGTAGAAAAATACCCTCAATTGTTGACCTCCATGGTATAAAATCGAATTGGTTTTTTGATACACTCGTTTCACGTCTCGTTCGATAGTTTGCACAATCTTGTTGCCGATTTCAACTTTTATAAAGTTAGATATTACGATTTGTGGCACCAGCGACTAGTTCATTTTGGGCACTTTTGACCTTCTCACTCATACCTAGTGAAGGTGAAATTATGGTTAGAAGATCAAGTAGAACCCTTCATGCCATTGATTGTTGGGTGTGATTCCCAAAACATTTCTATAGATCATCAATTTTTTCTAACTAAAAGATGAAAGTGCAAGAACCCTTTAGTTATGAAGAAGCTATAAAGAACAAAGGTGGTGCATAGAAGCTATGAATCAAGAAATGTGTGCCCTCTATTACTGCCAAACATGAGAATAGAACCTTGACCAAAGGACAAATATGTAGAGGGCTGCAAATCTATATAAGGTGAAATATAAACCCGATATGAAATTTAAACCAGATGGAAGCATAAACAAGTCTAATAAGGGCGAGGACCTCAAACTTTTCCTTAACCAGTCTAAAGGAAGTGCATTGCGTTAGGTAGGCAGCCAGAGTAAAACTTTGTCAGATCTTATCAAGAATCCTAAACCTATAAGAATAGAGGAACATGATTCTTGTAGCCGATCCTAAATAATTGGGATAAGGCTTAAAAGATGATGATGATGATGGAAGCATAGACAGGTTAAAGCAAAGTTGGTGCAAAAGTGATGTAGGAGAACTTGAAGAAACATAGAAATCGAAGAAACCTAGAGTTTCTTCTTTAAACCCCAAACTAGGGTTCCAAAAGCCTAAGCTTTTCTCGTTTTCCAATTTCTAAAAACCATGTGGAATTGATCCTCTCAAGGCCCTCACACACCTTATATATTGTTTCAAGTGCATAAAGTGTCCAAAGAAATAATGTATTGACCCATATATCCTAACTTAAACCTAAAATTCATACTAACAGTTTTGCCCCTATAAATAGTATCCGTGAATAGTACATATGAAATAAATAAAAAAACTATAGAAACCCTAGAATTCCTAAAAAAACTAAAAATTCTAAAAATAAATCTTAAAACTAAAATCAAAGTATACATCCTTTAAAATTGAACGGATGATAAAAATAAGTATAGTTTTTTCCCTCCATCATTCTCCCCTTGTTGGAGAAAACTTGTCCTCAAGTTTTGAAGTGTGTTGAGATGAATTCAAGGTCAAAACCACCTTCTTCAACCTTCTTCTTTGTTGGCTCAAATATTACTCTAGATAAAAAATTCTTCAAGAAAGGGATCATGATATGCATATTGAGGAATCAGGGCCATCATCTGTAGATTCTGAGTCGACCATGCTTTCACTGCACTATTCTAATTCCAATGCCCTAAATCTCTTGAATGCTCCACCTCTTCATTAATGAGATCTTCAATGGCCATGATTTGGATCAGTTTTCCTATTGCCTTCTCTACATATTCTTCACCCTCTTCTGAAATCTCTTTATCATCATCTTCATCCTTATTATAGACCGAATCTCTTAAGAAACCTTGTTCTTCATCTAAGTATGTGTCAAAGATTGGTGGCAATTCCCAATCTACATCCTGCTGATTTTTTATACGATCTGTATGAAAATCAAGAATCTCATACTCCAAATCAAAAATCCTAGAGTGATATTCCCCATATTTAGGGCTTCTATCACTATCCTCATCACTCGACTCCCCATGCGGAGTTCAAAAGTGAAAAGGCTTGTACTGAAGATCCTCTTGAGCTGAAAGATTACCGTCTTGCCCATTATTGAGGCTTGCGAACTGTTGTGCCAGCTGTTGTACTTGCCTTTCAAGTTCCTCAATCATGTCATCTATGGGATCACGGAGTGGATCTACGAAAATGCCCCTTTTAAGGCCCCTTCTCTCTGCCATGAATTCACCGAAATCACAAACCCTAGGCAAATAATCAACAAAAATTGCTGAAATTAGCAAAATCTAGGTTTTGGCAAAACTTTGGCCAAAATCAGCAAACCCCCACTATAACTTCTCTTTGTTGTTGACCTAGGGCACCAAAAAAAATGGTACTACAATATAACTCCGTACATGATACAGTAACTTTCGCACTTGCTACAGTAACTTCCGTGTAGATCGCGGGCTTTAATACCACTTGATACAGGAGAACTTGAAGAAACCAAGAAAAATTTGCAAGAAGCACACAATTTTGGAGAAACTCTAGGGTTTACTCCCACCTAGGGCTCAATCCTTAGGCTTCTTTTACAAGACAAAGTCTTTCTTTTCTTAAAGAGAAATACATGAATGACTGTCCCGCCCATCCATGCCGTTATTTATATTGAAAAATAATTGTTTTGGACAATATTTGTCCATACAATTTAACTGTTGACCAAAAGGTCCTAACTTAAATATAACTAGAAATTAAACTCCCTAACTTTAATTAAAATAACTAAAAAGTCCCTAACTGGTCCAGCAATGAAATAAATAAATAAATAACATCTAAAATAGCCTTAAAAACTAAAGAAAAAAACCAAAACTATTTCTTGCTCTTCTTGTTCTTCTTGGAATCCCTCCTAGGGTTTTTATCCTCCAAATATAAGTGAAAATTAGGAAGAATTTGTTGCTCCCATAGAAGATACTCATGGCTACTTGTGCTCTGATCTCCATAAAAAAAGGATTCAATTAGAAGCATGGGCTAGATTATGATGAAAACTTTAGAACTCAAGATGGAGACAAATTCATGTATTGTTATCATTGGCTCTTGCATATGGATTGGAGTAGTCACAAATGGATGTAAAAATGAAAATGCATTCCTGCATGGAACATTGAGGAAGAGGTGCTCATCGAGCAGCTTCCTGGTCTTGAGGAAGGAGATCTTGGCATAACGATATGTAAATTGAACAAGTCCTAAATAAGAGTGAAGCAGGTATCGAGGCAACGGTTTGAAGTTTCTACCTAGTTGTGAGGAAACATGGGTTCACTTGTAGTGTTGCAGATCATTTGCTTTTCTTAAGCATGAGGGTAAACACACCACTATACTACTTCTTTACATCAATGACAAAGTCCTGACAAGTAGCTGTCCAAAAAGCGTGAAAATTCTCAAACAGATTCTATCTAGTGCTTTTCAAGCGTAAGACCTAGGAAAGCTGCATTATTTTCTAGGCATTGAAGTGGAAATTGCTGCACACCTCAGGCAACACAAATATGCAATGGATAGTTTGAAGAACGTGAATATGATTGATGCCAAGCCAACAGCGATATCAGCAGCTTTCTGATGGATGTGAATATCATGACATTGTAGCAGCCTTGCTGTATCTAACCTTCACTAGACTAGATATCATGTATGGAGTGAACGAAGTCAGTCAGTTTGTGCATAATCCAAGAGTGGGGCCATGAAAACGATACTGCGATACATTAAAAGAATGGAACTTAAATGATCAGATGCAGGAAAAATGACCCAAGGAAGATCATCCCTTCACCACACTTGCCTTCTCAGATGCCGATTGGTCTAGAGATCCAATCACCATGTGATCTAGCCCTGGATAGTGTGTATTCACTGGAAAAAATCTAATTTCATAGTGTAGCAGAAAACTGAAGACAGTTGCAAGGCCAAGCCAAGAGGCTGAAGTATAGAAAGCTATGTCAGTAGTAAATGCAGAGGTCACATGGATAAGAAGTATAGCATCTACATTGGGACAGAAAAATTGTCATATTGATGAATTCGGTTCTTCAGGGAAGAATGAAACATATTAAAGTGCATCGTTATTTTGTTAGTAGAAGAAAATAGGAGATATGCAGAAGATATATAGGCACCAAGGGACAAGTTGCAAATATCTATACAAAGGCTCTAACCAAAGAAAGACATCAGTATCGGCAGCAATTAATTTACACCTTGAGGGGAGTGTAAAAGAGGTTAGAAGGGTGGTCAACTAGTTGCCTGCATCATGTTTTGTTCATTGTTCATGTATGCCATTTGTGTAATATATTGTAACATAAGGGTAACACTTCATAAATGCATTTATGACAGTTGCATATATTGTTTAACATAAGGGTAAAATATAGTAAACAGGAAGACAAGCAAGGTGAGATCCCTGATCGATATCGGGATCGGGACCCCCCATCCTCTCTCCAACTGCCTAGCTCATAATCTCATACACGTGTATGACGGTGAGTTCAGACAATACATAGTGCCCCAAAGCTGTTATCTTTAACAAGCGCAACTGAAAAAAATAATCCTTCAACGAACAAGGTGATACTACCTGGAACCTTCCAGTACTCAGGTTGGAAGCAGAATACAACTGACGATCGATAATCAGCCAACCACTTATTGTTGTTTAGTCTAAACCACAAGCCTCACTAGTCCCCTTAAAATGTTGTTGAAGGGTACCACAAAAAGCCCTACTTTCATTAGGACTGTTTCTCAACTAGTAGATCTCCATATCAAAGGTGGTGGGACAAGGATCCCTCCAATGTTTCAAAAAGCGCTAGGCGGCACCTAGGCGGTCGAGGGGATCACGGCCATCGAGCCTAGGAGGGCGCCTAGAACCTAGGCGGCCTAGTAAAAATTTTATTTTTTTTGAGTTCTCTCTAAAATAGCCGCTAATGGGTTTTAGGTTCCAAATGAACCTAAAACCCACAATTTTGCCCCTTTAGTATTAAAAAAATAACCAAAAAATACTCTCAATGAGCAGCATTTCCGCCCCGGGGCAGGGTGCAGGCCCTAGATAGGCGCCTAAGCGGGCGCCCAGGGATATCCGCCTAGTTTGGCCGCCTAGTTTGGACCACCTAGGCACTGAGCGGTCCGCTTTTTAAAACTATGGATCCCTCCTTTTCTTTTGATTCCTTTTTTCGGGAAAAAAAGGACACCGATAGACAATCCCATTCTCCTTCCAATCTACCTCATCACCACTATGGACAAAAAAATGCCCCCCAACCAAGGGAATACAACGTATACCAGAATTACAGTCCAAAAGGCATTAAACTAAGGAACTAGATATTCTGACAACAAATGAAAACAGCCAAGCAAACAAGCAGTTATTTTCTCTTCTTCATTACTACAGGCTTTTTATCAAAAAAAACAACCATATTAAGTCCCACTATAGTGAGTAATTTAGCCCCCATCCAGTTGAGTAACCACAAGACAACAGGAAAGCTTTTGGGACCCCATGTGTTACTTAAACAAGCACCTCCTTCCATAGCCTCATTGAGACCTTCATAAACCAAAATAGTTTCCCCAAAACGTATGCATGATAACGATGGTGTAATGAATATTACTTGCAAGCTTTGGCATCAGGGGCTGAATTGGTTTGCAGTATTCCATTCCATCTTTATGATAGATATCACTAAGATTTACACACACAGAAGTACATTTGAGAGAGAATTCATTTGGTGAACTTGCAGAATAAAAGGCTGAACACATGGTAGTTGAAGAAAAACAAACAAAACACATGGTAGTTGAAGATGTTGAATTCATGATAATGGTTGTCGATGGTGAGAGATGTTGCTCAAAAATTGTCTAAGCAGGTTGCTAATATTAAATATTGAACAAAAAAGGTGCGAACAAAAGCCAGTCCACACAGAAAGAGAGGAGAACATGTCACTTATGAGAAAGTGTATAGTTTATATTGGTAAAGCTTACAAACCACCCCGAAACTATCTACACTGTACAATTAAGTCCTTAAGTGGGACTTATATAACTATAACATAAAGACTTTAGAAAGACTATACGAAGGAGAGATGCGCCCTCATGCATTACATCTGTCTACAGGGTCAACAAGACAACACATAATGCTCAAATTAGACAGATCAACAAGAAAACACATAATGCTCAAATGCATGATAAATACTACCTCATTACGAAGATCTTCCCAAATCCTTTCACCATCAAGCTCCATTGGAATGCCTTCTCTTCTAGCAGTAAGCCATGTTGCGTTTTGACGTATTTTAACAGCAGCAGCCTTGTATAGAGGACCCCTAGGTCTTAAACCAGTTGATAAGGCAGAAGTGAAGTGGATTTCATTCAGTCCTGCATAATTAATTCGATAGTTAATAGTAACCATAATGTAAAACAAAATAGGCATAAAAATTAGGGACCAAACTAGGTTTTCTTTCTAAGGAGAAGTAACCAAGTATGAGTAAAGAACACACCCATCGAATTTTCTTTTCATTTGAGAAGTAAATGGACATTAAAAGCATGTGAAAAAATACAGAACCAATCCTTGCAAGTGTAACAATAAAAATATTATAATCAGAGAAAGATCGAAAGATATAACAGAGAATAAGTTGAAGGTGTCAATGTCTGCACATTATGCAAATTCAAATGGTTGGTGAAAGTGTGTGGAATCCCACAGCTCCAAGTGTAACCTTCTTGAAATCCTTGGTCCAAAAAGAAACTCATAACCAACCACAAGTTTTAAACAAAGCCCACCAACAAACCAGAATACATATACAATAAGGAAACCAGAGAACTAATATGGCGGTTCCAACAAATTTAAAAATTAATCCAAAATAATAATGTATCAAAGGGAAAAAAAAAAGAAGTCCAGCAAACTTTGGACAAATTACTAAAGGACCAACTAAGCCATTTACCAAGGATATAGACTGACATGTTGTGTCTACAACGGCTAGTTGAAAAATGCCATGTTGGACACTACAAATCCATAATATACAGACACTACAATCAGGACACTTATTAAGCCAGATACTAGATAAGTTCAATTAATAAATTCCAGTAACTAAGATAGCAAGCCAGAAGCTCTTTTTGAAGGTGGAACCAAGCCAAAAGTTGAAATACAAGTACAAATTTCAGGCATGCTGTGTCAAAAATTTTGAACACAAATGTATAAAGTTTAGATGATGATGTTGATGATGAATTGTAAAAAATATGATATGCATCTCCAACTTCTAGACACACGTCTAACATTATGGACACACATATTGATGGCCAACATGCCATGTCCTCATGTCTGGCACAAAAAAAGTTCAAGACAAGCTTAGTGACACTTCCAAGTGTCAACACGTATATCAACATAAGATATGCCAAAACCTGCATGCCCTCGCTTCTGATACCACATTCGTTTTTTACATCACTTCCATTGAATCACTATGGAACAAAAGGCTAGCAAACCAATCAACCTATCTCCACAAGGCCAAAGTCCGCAACATATCTACCAAGAATACAACATCAAGCAGCTTAAACAGATGGGCAGTCCACCTAGGCATGGAGGCTCCATAAACAACTACTCCCCAATACTTTGGGCCAAACACTAAAATGTAATACTTCAAGAATTAAAGCCCAAGATGTGATGAACAACTTGATAAGGATCAAATCCTCTCTAGACTAAGTGTCCCGAATAAATCAGTGTTTCCTCCTATCCTTAATCAATGAAAGATGCAAGTGGGTTAGTCCTCCAATGCAATTGATCAACCTCACTTATATAATGGACCACATACTCGTGTTTCACCTTGGGCCTTGCTAGGATTCGTAGTCATCCATGGCTGCAGCCAACACTCACCTGACAGGATTGAGACTCCATGTGATTTCGTCCTCTGTGCCACGATTGTTGAGGACGAATTACTTAATGCCATAATGAGATTAGTCGACCTCAAGGAAGTTCCCTTTCCTCGGCACTTGGCAGACCTTAGTGATAATCCATGTGGTAAGCCCGAGTAATTCAGTATATAGCTCAATACATGTATCAGGCACGCATGGCTTTCAATGCTACTCATCTAAGTACCTTCCATATAGTGGTCGAGGCAATTGGCTAATTTGGGCCGGGGTTGAAGGGCCCCAACCCCATATTAGGTTAAGGTGCCATTGCTACAAAGAGAGGTACCACTCACCAACGAGAACCTCAAGTCTCATAAGGATGCATGAGCACAATTTGGGCCTCCATCATCACAGATACATGCAATGACAAGAGGAAAACTGTCAAGAAATTGATGGTAGGGACAATATCTTTTTGTTTTATTGATGCATCTGATTATGTCCATAATGCACAAAATGTATAATCTTTGATTGACAAGGTTGGTGAGTAGGTTGGGAAGGAGCATGTACACCATGTGTAGAACAATGCGTAGCACACTGCATAGACCTCATGCTTGAGGCCATTGGTGAAATGCCTAGGGCAAAGGAGGCACTTATTAAGGATACAACCATGACAATGTTTATCTATAGCCACACCATTACCCTTAGCATAATGCGCAAGTTCAATGAGAAGAGGGATGTAGTGAGGCCAAGTGTCACAAGATATGCCACCTCTTTCTGAAGTCTACAGAGCATATATGACAATAGAAACCAACTGAGAAAGATGTTCTCCATAAAGGAGTGGTCTAGTTGTAAGTTGGCCAAGTATGCTAAAGGGAAGAACGCACGTGATATAGTTTTCTCTACAGATTTTTAGGGTGGGATAAAATACTCATTTCAAGTACTTCTAACCTCGGCCAAAAATGCGGTTGGCGAATGGCAAGATGAAGCCCACCATAGGCTTTATATATGGTGTACTAGATGGAGCTATAAGAGAGAGAGTTGAAGCATTGAGCCATGATAAAACAATTATAGCCCAATATGGAAGATTATAGATAAACATGGCATATGGAGTTTCACTGATCATTACATGCAATAGAGTATTATTTGAACCAAGTATTTTTATGGTGACATGGGTATTGAGAGGAAGGATGCAATTATGGAGGGCTTTAATGAGTGTCTTGAGAAGCTAGTTCCTGGTAAGGATAACCAGGATAGATATCTATTGCGGTCATATAAATTTCCACTAAAAATCATTTAGGAAGGATATGGCAGCAAGACAAAGGACCAAACTGGATCCAGATTATAATTTTCTTTCAAGTTCCAACATGAAATTTTGAATAGTTTCATATGATATTATAGACATAAGACATAGACTAATAGTGATTGTATGCCATAAAGGATCCAAGTATAAGTTAAAAATACAACAGCAGCCAGAGAAAGAAGGGAAAGGAAGAAAATAGAGATATCAAAAGCTTGGTTAGAAAAAAAGAGGAGAAACACTTTGAAAAAAGAGAAAGAGAGTCATGTGGATTCTAAACCATAGTTACCGGGATCTCCCAACATAGGTGGCGATCCTACTCTGGAATTTTGCTCCAATGATCTACGGATCTTGATTTTTAAATTTCGGGTCTTTGTCCCAACTATTAGGGATCCCAATTCCTACTGTTTAGGATCTCGATCCCAACTCTAAAGACCAAGATAATAATCAAACTGATGATTTTTTTAATTTGTAGCCAGCTAGAAATACAACTATACTTTTAATATAGTTGAATTGCTCGTTCGCTATAAATAAAGTGATCTTTATTTTAAGTAATATATAGAAGGCTTGGATGAAGATGATAATGATGATATAGTCCTAGACTATAAATACTCTTTAAGGTTGGAAGTAAGATCCCTAAAAGGTTGGGATATCGGACATTAATATTAGGGACCTAGATCACTAACACATGCATTATACGGACGACACTCCTAACAATAGGAATCTCCTAGCATTTCACAATCCCCCACTCGCAATTCCAATCTAGCTACTGGACCTGCTCGCAATCCCCTAAATTAACCTCCACGCACCTCTAGATTGTATTACATTACCTATAAATTTTTCCATATGCACAAAAGTGCCCTTTAAGTGAAAACAAGGATAAATAAGTCCCTAAGAACTTAAATGCAATTAAAAGAGTACTAGGAGCTTTCAATATTCACTTTCACAATACTCCCCCTCAAATTGTGCATAGATATCAATCATGCCCAACTTGCTCAATCAAATCATACCTAAGGCTTTCGACCAGGCTTCGGTAGAATATCTGCTAGCTGATCTTCTATCTTCACATAAGGAAGACAAATTTCTTCAGTAGAAACTTTTTCTCTAATAAATGTTTGTCTATCTCTATATGCTGGGTTAGATCATGCTGGATTGGGTTGCGACTAATGGTTGCTTTCTTATCACAATATTAGGGCAGTGATCCCTTTACAGAAAACCAGGCTCTCGTAATAGGAATTTTAACCACAACAAATCACATTCTCCACAAGCCATAGATCGATACTTTGCTTCTACACTCGAACAGTCTACAACCAACAATCTTTTACTCCTCCAGGTCACTAAGTTGCCTCCTACCAATGTACAATAACCTGATATAGACCTCCAGCCTGATAAAACCAGCCGAAATCTGGGTCTGTACAAATTTTAACTCAGAAGTGCATGATCAGCAAACAACAGTCCTCTACGTGGTGATGCTTATAAATATCTAAAAATTCTGTACGACGCTTCAAGATGAGTAGTTCTAGGAGCATGCACGAATTGACTAATCACACTCACAACACATCCAATATCTGGGCGTGTGAGTGAAACATATATCAAGCTACCCACTAACATATATAAAAAGGCCCCAGAACTTTGGAACATGCCTTTGAAGATATCAACTCTGCACACCTCCAGCATCTTTTTTTGACACATGGAAAGAAGCCCATGCTTTAGCAGACATTCTCATGAAGTAGGGACTGATTACACAACACTTGACACCTCCCAGCTCAACCCATAAGAAAGAACAAGACAGAGTGCACAGAGTCCATGCTACTGGTCTGTAAAGCACTGTAACGGTGACTCCGCTTGGGTCCAAGCCCCCCCCAGCCCCCTCTTTTCTTTTCTCCTCCTATTCCTCCCCACCTCTACCCTCCCTCTCCTTCTTCCTACCCCTCTTGATTCATAAAATCAATTGACCGAATTTTCTACAATAGTTCAAGAGAGGCAACCACTTCTTGTGAGTGCCAACAATTTTCTATCAACTTACTACAAGAAAATTTAGTTAATTTTTCTTAAGAAATAAAAGTACCTTGATCATTATCTTTGTCCTTGGCAAATACAAGAGCAACAGCATCACATTCATTGCTTGGACCAATCTGCAGTGCCTTTATTCCTGAGGGATCTCCAGCACTATATAGGAAACATCTCTGATTATCTAAAGCAGCAACACAACCTACTATAGGAGTTTGCCCGAGCAAAGCATCATCTGTGAAACCGATAGTCAAAAATAGGAGACAGTTACAAACAATAGACTTGCAAAACAATTGACTATGTGAGTCTCTTAATGGAAAAAATCATCATTCCAGCAGTAATAAATGCCATGTAAAAGAGTTAAGGACAATAATAACAGTATAGGACCAGTACACATTGATAAAAAATTTAAAAAAATTAATATGCAATTAAGACAAAGCAATGAAATCAAACCTTATAAATTTTTGCCCTCAAAGAAGCACTAAGCCATCGTTATTGGGATCAGGAGCGAGGTCAGATCCCGGGTCGGAATCAGGACCGTGGGATTGAGAGATGCACCAAGATGCATGGGTAGGGATCGAGATCTGTAGATCATTAGTTCAAGGGATCATCATCCGAATAGGAAGGTAGTGCAATCCAAATTCATCCAGGATCAAATGATAAAGTGTATAGGTTGACATCTATCCAGCTTAAAATCGAGGTTCTCCAAATAGGTACTCTAGCTTGGGAACGAAGTCTGTTGAATGACATGATGAATGTTTTTCTGAATTCAAAAACCAAAGGAACATCAAATACAAAGACTCATGTTTTAAATTTTTTAATTTTTTTGTTAATCATAAAACTGTGCTTCATAAGTGAGAAGTGAAATTCAAAACCCAATATGCCGATTCAAATTTCAGTCATGAAAAAAGCTCAAGCGTTTGATGGAAATCTGGTGTCCTTGTTTTCCCTCGCTTGGGTCCTTTTACTTACATGCAATTGGGCATGCAACTGGTCAAATTCTTTCTAGATTCAGACAAACAAAAAGGGTCCAGACGCAAGAGAAAGGTCAACCTGCAAAGGGTTCTAAAATGGTGGACATGGCTAATAAGAGGGCATTAGAGACCAAAGATCACTTGTATAAAACGTATAGAACTTCCCATAAGTGAAATTGAAAAGAATTTACGGTATAACACGGCGCAACTTTAGCTGCTCTCCTTCATCTATGGTTTCCATAATGTGATAAGGCAGCAGACCCTAGTTGCTATTGTGGGCATTGAGACTGTTTATCAATTGGTCAATCTCTATACTGAAAGCCAATTCAAATTTCAGAATTTTTAGAGATATATGCTCTTTACACGTATAGAGAAAGGGAGAGATAAGCGATTATGGGCTAGGAATTTTGAGAGAGGATGGGTGGGGGAAGAGGGGGTGATGAACTTCGATACCAATGTAAAAGAAACTCGACTCCATGTTGGTGAAAGCTCGATTCTATTTACTCAAGGACCCATGACTTGGATGAGAGGGATCTGGATCCTATTAAGCAGTCAACCAGGGATCTAGATCCCCAATTTTGGGGATCAAGATCCCCAAATTCAAAAAATGTATGGAATCGAGATCCCTTGTCCCATATCACAGGATCAAGCTTCCAAAGCTAAAGCGACTACCTTCTTAGGAGATCCCGATAACTATGCATCAGCCCATTCTCAATAATCATTAAGAAAAATTGAAATTGAACTACAACAGCATTGGTACATTGTGCACAACATAAGGCATTAGTCAAACACTAGTTCAGTAAAATACCGTATCATCTACCGAAGTTCATAACCAATCAAAACCACAAGCAAAGCACAGACACATGCACGAATCCAAGCATTCAATCAGAAAAGTGAATCTTAAAGTGCGGGGGGTTGAATGGATGCGAGGACAGGTGAAAGGAAGATGTAGTGTTTCATCACTTCATAAGAAAAAATATGATATTATAAAGGAAAGTAAAATAACAAGTGTATCAATAAATAAGCAACCATCCAAATATACAAAAAACTAAAATGCTATGAATATATGTGGCATTCCATGTCACATGACTACACGTACTGTAGCAGGGGTAGACACTTCGAGGACAAGTTACGAGGTAAAAGACCTCCAAAGTTGCATGATATTTTGGTTGCAATTAGAAAGGAAACAAGCTATATAAAAACTTTGCACATTTATTTATTGGTGCATATTATTTGTGTTTAGAGAATCATCGGTGATTGGTGTTGTATGTTTTGGGAGAAATTTAAGGAATTAGCAGTAAAACAAAATAACTTAGGAAGCAGAAAGTAGATAAATAAATTGCATGAAGGTTAAAGGTACAAGTTGCAAAAATCTAATCAACCAGAATATTAAGTATCAAGAAAAAAGAAATATAAATATCTCTTCTGTTGTTTATATAGGGGCTGTTTGGGCAAGATTTCTCCTTCGATTTCCAAAAAATCCATGAAATTTTTTTTTTCTGTTGGGCATACATCACATTCTTTGAATCATTGAATTCTAGGTTTCATTTGAGGAAATCCATACAACTTTTCCTTGCTCCAAAATCCTCTATGAAACTTGTTTTTTGGGTTTCTACAATTTTAAAAGTAAAGCAAATATCCTTCTTTTGGGTTGGCCCTTGCCCTGTCCCAACCTTGACAAGGCCAAACCCCGAGCCCGCCCCTGACTGGGCCAAGGGGGACCAAGCCTAGGCACAGCTCTACTATTGGGCTAGGAGGCCCGTCCAGGCCCTAATGATGGGATCAGGCAGGGCACCCCTTGGCTAGTGTTGATTAGATTGGGGGAAAAAAAAAGCACTCGTGAATAGCAAAAAAAAAGGTCAGGCAGGGTCATGACCCCTAGCCCAAGTAGGGCGTGGGCCTGGCCCTGGCCCTCAGGCCAAATTTAGTGGGTTGGGCCTGACTATTTAGAGCTAGGCCATGCTACCCACTCATTGCCAGCCTTAGATCTGGAGATGGTTGGCTCTTACAAGCCAACCATCGAATTTTTATATGAAGCAATGGATTGTCCAAAGCAGGCTGCCAAGTCCATTGCAAATACCACATAAAAAATATGGGACATAACAGATGAAAAGTGGACTGCTCATCTTTACTAGCCATTCATGCAAGTAACCTTCAATATACGATAAGCTGTAATGTTTATGCCTTTAGCCTTGTTGGGGTTCTTTTTCATCTTACAAGTAATATTTAATTATGTTTCATTTATGCCCGGATCAAAGCAACAATGGATGACATGGATTATTGCATTCAAAGATTGGAGCGAGATGGGCTATTGCATATTGTCGGAAAAGGGAGAGAGATGAAAGGAAAGAGGGTAAGGAAGGGAGATTGATGTGAGAGTCCCCAATTGGCTCTCACGCACCTCTCACGCCACTTTTATATTAATAAAAAACAGCGAAAGTGTAAAAATACCCATACAAACTGAAATAGGACATGTAGTTCTTATTAACTTAAATTAAAAGACAACTAAGAATTAGAAAAAGGACTTTTAGCACTCCCCCTCAAGCCGAAGAATAGATGTCACCCATGCCCAGCTTGGAGCGTATTGTTTGAAACAGACTTCGATCAAGAGCTTGTGAAGATGTCTGCCAACTATTGCTAAGATGTCATATACGGGGTAGACACCTGCTTACTAGTGACTTTCTCTATAATAAAATGACAGTCTACTTCAATATGTTTGGTTCTCCCACGAAACAATGGATTGTTGGCTATATAAGTTGCAGCTTTATTATCACAATAAATCTTCTTAGGCTCAACAATACCCCATCCCCCGCATCAGTGTCTTCAGCCACATCAATTCATATATAGTATGTGCCATTGCTCTATATTTGGCCCTGGCACTTGATCTAGCCACATTATTTTGTTTCTTACTTCTCCATGTAATCAGATAGCCACCAACAAATATACAATAACATGTAAACCGCCTGTCAGATGGAGAACCTGCCCAATCAGCATCTAAGTAAGCATCAAATGGTCAAATGATTATTTGATTTGTAATCAGACCTCTACCTAGAGCTCCATTCGGGGTACCTGAAAATTTTTCTAATAACATCCCAGTGGGGAATCCTTGGATAGTGCATAAACTGACTCACTACACTTAGTACAAAAGCAATATCAGGCCTATTAATGGTCAGATAAATCAAACTGCCTACCAGTCTTGTGTACTTTTATAGATCCTCAAACAACTCCCCTTACCAGAGAATAATTATGTATTCAAAGCCATAGGAGTATCAACTGGTTTAGCCTTAATATTCAGTCTCTAACAACAAATCAATCACATACTTTCTTTGTGACAAGCTAATATCATGCTTTGATCTGGCTACTTTAATTCATAGAAAATACCTTGGCTGGCCCAAATCCTGTCTTAACATATTTTTTCAGGTGTCTCTTCAAATGATTGATTGCTTCTGATTATGGCATGTAATGACAATATCATCAACATATACAATTAAAACAATTATCTTGAAATCCCTTTTCTAAATAAATACATAATGATTTGCATGGCTGTGTCAAAATCCATATGCCACAACAACTTCACTAAATTTCTCAAACCAAGCACATGAGGACTGCTTTAGAACGTAAATGGCTTTCTTCAACTTACATACCTTATCTGACACCCCCTGAGCAAGAAACCCAGGTGGTTGCTCCATACATCACAATGGACGAAGGCACTCTACACATCAAGCTACCACAATGTCCAATCCTTGTTTGCTGCTACAGATATAACTAATCGAACTGAATTAAGTTTGGCAATAGGTGCAAAGGTTTAAGAGTAATCAATGCAAAAGATTTGGATGTATCCTTTGTCAACCAACCTGGCTTTTAATCTCTCGATGGTGCCATCAAGTTGGATATTCTACTGCATAAACCCAACAACACCCAACAATTCATTTTCCAGTTGGTAACTCCATGAGCTCCCATGTATCATTCAAGTTGAGTGCATTCATTTCCACTTTCATTGCTTCCTTCCATTCAATATGAGAACGCGTCCGGATAAGACTTAGGGATAGAAATAGATGAAAGAGCTAAAGCAAAACTTTGATATGATGGGGACAAATTTGCAAAAATAATAAAATGAGCAATGGGATGTTAAGTACAAGACCCTATACCTTAATGTATTGCAATAAGTGCTTTATCATCACTAGATATAGAATGTGAGCCAGAAGCAAGAAGTAGATCAGTAAGTGAAGATGACAATTGAATGGTTGGCTGAGTCGGTGGA